TAGGCCGCATACGCACTCATTACGCCACTACGATTCTGAATGGAAGTCGAGTGCATCCCTCAGACGGGATTGATTAACGCCAAAAACTTCATCCTTTGTACTTTATATTTTTTGAAACCTAACATTTTTGCCCCCTCTATGCCACCCTCGTTTTTGAGTTCAGGTTAGGTTGATACTGTTTCCAAGGGTTAACCTTACAAATTTAACATCTTTAAACTTTGTAAACCAAACTGCACCAATAGAAAGTAGAGAAGGTCAAAGGTTATTCTGCAAAGCACTCAAAAACTTTCCGACATACCTTCAGCGCTTCCGGATAAGCAACTTCAGAAATAAAGGCTTGTGGCGAGAGTGTAGCTACCTCCATGGCACCACCTCTTGCTACATGAGAAGTGAAGGCTATGGGACGGAAAGTTTCGTACAAAACACCATTTATACGCTCATGTTCGTGTCCTGCATGAGTTTCAGCTTCAGTACCATTCGCCTTTGTTTCTGCACCCTCCGACACTTGACGTTTTCGTATTGTTCGCACTGGAATAAGTATAAATAAATAATATAGAAAGATAGAATAGTGAAGTTGAAGGTTTACAAAAGACAAAGCCTCATTGCTCCACAACAACGCTAGTCTTCCGGTGACAAGAAAACTCGCCCAGAAGTTAAACCCTCGGCTGAGATATTCTAGCTTATTCGCTGTTTTTGCCTGACCCAGTGTTTTTCTACCCTATGTTCGGAAACTGGGAGCTACCGGAGATTTGGAACAATTAGTCTTTTCCTATTCAAGTGAGTCCAGGTGTGGTGCAGTTGAATCAGAATGGTCGCCTCGCGGCGAAAGCGACGTCGCGCACGAAGGAATATGACACAATAAATTGGAAGCGGCGCAGCGAATAAAGAGGCGAATAACGAGGCAACTAGTCCGCAACTGCCGCGTGCGGCAAATCGATTACGCAAAACCGTTTCGACTGCCCGTCTCCCTCTAATTTCTCTATACCTATAGTTGATATTGCTCGGGAAAAATGAAGAAACAGTTAGAAAATGTCAAGTAGGGTATAAGGAATATGGGGTAGGAAAAAAGGAGACGTGACTCGCGTTCCTTAAAAGGTAAAAGGTCAGTTCAGGTACACGTACTACACCTCATTTGGTACCCTTGGTGCTACCCCGATGCAATGTCGACGTGAGGAAGAGCGAAAAGCATGCGGGAGGTAACCGAATCACCCAGGTATTGCCAACTAAGTATATAAACAAAATGATCTGAAATTACTCACCAGTATCCCACATTGGCCATTTCGGCCGATCTAGAGCGGCCATTTCTCGGATATCGTTTTCTAACCTTCGGACTTTTTCTTCCTTGGACATATTTCCCAATTTTGTCGTGTTGAGTCCGGTCTGTAGCTGATCTGTAAGGGTACACCAACTAGAAGGGATTTTGCACGAAACAATCACGAAGTAACGGAGTAGCAATGCCAAAGTAACAGAATAACAATGACAGTAGCATGTTGAACACCACTAGTTAAGCAACAGCTTGAACCATAGCAATTTCCTACCTATCACCTGTTTCGAGTAGTTGTATAGGTTACTGCTACTTGTTTAGAAACCTTTCCAAGCATTACTACATACTTAATGGATTACTCTTTATAATACTACTGACCTTGTTCACTGTATATGAGATTTAGTTGGGCTTCGTCCAAAAAGGTATAACCTTTCTCAGCGTACTCTCTTGCTTGGTCATCGTTGAATGATTTGTGTACACTGCAATGGAAATGTATTACACACAGTGTGACCGATAGAACTAGACTTATGTTCCTCAACAGCTCAGCACCAACGAGACAACTAGCTAGGAATTGCCGCACGCGGTGAGCTGGACGGGAATGAATGCGCTCTTTCCGTAGTCGTACGAGTTATGATTTAGTGGAGCAAAATAAGAGCAGCTAACAAATCACCAACTCAAAATTAATATATACATGTATATATTAAACAAATTAAAAATGTATAAGTGCAATACTCTCGCGTATCAATGGATACTATAAGTTGCTAAACTAGTGTAAGTGCTATGACAGGATAACCTGTACATGGAGGGGCTGGTTATTTATATTATACGAAGACAACTTTGGGCCCAGAAGTCAGTAAATGAAACGAAGACCGAAAAAACCTCTTCTCTCGTTGATCAAATAAAGTATGTCTTAAAGTAAGTACACTGAAGATCGCTTTGACTCATTGAATTCTATAAGCGTACCGCATCCAGTTGGCGTCCCTCTGAGAAAGCTCCTCGACAAGTGGAAGCTTCACATTCTTAAGCTCATCCATTTCTGGTTTCATTTTGATGACTAGATCCTGAAAGTAAAAAAAAATTTAAAGCAAAGAATCCCATCGCTTCTTCTCATAAGATTTTTCTCAGGAACGAGTCGAAGTCAGTTGGATTATCACAGACGTTCGGTTCATATACCCAGCTCGAGCTCGGGGAAGCCTCGATGGTCAAGGATTAGCGTTTGTGACTTTTTTGTGTAGTATAGAGAAAGTTTAGCAGACAGCGGNCAGCCGAAGTGACTACAGCCTTGTTTATACGCCTTATTATCGGGGAATGGGCAGTAGGAACGGTTTACGGTAATCGATTTGCCGCACGCGGCTGTCGCGGACCATTCGTTTGCCGTTATTACAACTCTTGCGTTCTTCGTACAGCTCGATCGATGTGCGATCCTTATTTTAGGCATGATCCTACTGATAGTTCCTTTGTTCCTGTATTTCTTACCTGCTACTACGTTCTGCTACATTCCTTCGCGCGACGTCCCTCTTGCCGCGACGCGACAATTTCGTTCCTACTGCCACCACACCCACCAGGACACTACCTGGCTCGATTCCGTGATGAAATGTAGGAAATAGGAGTTTAGGTCCACCACAAAAGTTCAAAAAACTTCCTAGGAATATTAGGACATTTGTCAACCATCTTAGTGATACCTTTCGCCCTTACCCTTCTCGCGTAACGTACCTTTAGACAACCATAATGAGGATTGAAACTGACCTCAAGCACTGCTCCAGCTCCACTGATGTCTAGAACGGCATCCAACATAAGTTGCTGATATCTTTGGTTAGTTGTAATTATCTGAATGTAAAAATTAATTCGTGCTCCAACCTATCAGCATTGGACACATCTCATTGAAAGAAAATTAGTTTTCGATTTTTCCTCTTCCCTCTTCAAAGAACTGTCTAGATTTACAATAACTTCCAGTCTGAAGGACGAGTTTTCCTCATTGTTTGGAGTGATTCGCTTGAATTCGTTTCTGAACTTCACATTATTGAAATTCACCGCGAATAATCGTATTCAAAGCGTGAGAAGCCTACAGTAAAAGAAAGGCTTACCAAAAAGGCTAAACATATTGTAAGAAATAAAGTTTATCGAAGTAATCCTCAATTTGGGAGGGAGGAATGGAGTAAGGCTATGCCCTATTGAATTCATCTTTGAACTCACATCAAACACTTCCGGAAGGGAAAGATAACCATCTTTTTGAAAGCTGAAAAACGTTGGGGACAGAAGGCGTTTCCCAGGTGCTCGAGCTGGTTCAGGGAACAATGAGAGGAGTCGAGGTGATAGCACCGATACTTTGCCCGGTGATGATTTAGACGCCTGAAAAAGTCTATTTAATTAAATGTCTGTAAAGTACTGTCTTACAAAATATACGGGAGGCGGGCAGTAGGAACGGTTTTGTGTAATCGATCCGCCGCACGCGGCTGTTGCGGACCATTTGCTTCGATATAACAGTTCCAGCGTTCTTCATACAGCTCAATCGCTATGCGATTATTATACTTTTGGCATAATTCTACTGTTAGTTCTTTTGTTCCGTATTTCCTACTTGCTGCTGCACTCTGCTACATTTCTTCGGGTGCGGCGACTCTCTCGCCGCGACGCGGCAATTTCATTCCTACTGCACCACACCCAAAACATACAGAATAAAGTGGTTTTTCATTTTTTTTTCAATACAAGGGCCAGTGTTCGATAATAATAGATATCTTTTATGTATTCCGAAACAAATATTATTTTTTTCGTCCTACTTTTTAACACTGTAGAGGTCCTACCGCGAAAGCGTTCACTATTTCAAGCACTTGTTCAACTGCAGTCTGAGCGTTGTTGATCACTTCCGGTGTACGGCTGTCAATCGGAAGAGCAATTTGCTCGTATAACCTGAACTGTTGAATGTCAAAATAAAGTCCTTACTGGTTCATACCAGTATCCGGTATGATACTGGTATACCACCGACGTTTGAATAAGTACAGCAGTAACTTCCTTTTAAAGGAGTGGCCTAATAAGTTAAGTGCCCCGGGGAGTAGTAAAAAGGGAAATGTGTCCTTTAAAAAACACTCTCCAGAAATTCAATCCCACATGAAGTAAAAGTAACTTTTCTTTGATTACCTTCTATTTTCTTCATTCATACGCTTAAAGTAGTTGTTGATCTTCTCTGTTCTCCGGAAGTGTTCGTGAATTAGGTGAAGGTTTTCGATATTGGATTTGCCCGACGATTTTCCTCAAAACGGATCATGAAACTTTGAAACGGCTTTACAGTGAACCTGTGGGAACTCTTGGTTACCTACCTACATGTCAGTATCCGAAAGGCGTGGGGGTTTCGAGCTCTTAGGTAATTTAAGCTAGTAGCTAGCGTTCCGGGTTACTTTTTACATAGTGGGGTATTTTTTCAGTCTATCACNAACTTTGAAACGGCTCTACAGTGAACCTGTGGGAACTCTTGGTTACCTACCTACATGTCAGTATCCGGAAAAGGCGTGGGGGTTTCGAGCTCTTAGGTAATTTAAGCTAGTAGCTAGGGTTCTGGGTTACTTTATAGTGGGGTATTTTTTCAGTCTATCACATCCGTAAGGGAGGCATGGCCGAAATTGTGTCCCACCCACACATACATAAAGATCTGGAAGACAAAGAAATATTTAATTGCCTAAACCGTAAACCTTGAGAAGTCACCATCGAAGTGGAGGTGAAAGCGAAAATTCAACTGCGCATGTTTAACACCTTTTTTCACTGGGGACAGTGATACCCATTTCTTGACTTAGATGACCAAGATTTTAAACGGACCATTTATTCGGCCGACGTTTCGACACTTTCGCCTTCTTCACAGCCTTTGGAATGGTCGACTTTGGAATGGTCGACCTTACACGGTCCACTGATCACCCTTCCGATGACTTGAGATAGTCGGCCTGTATGGTAATCAGTGGACCGCAGAGGTCGACTATCCGGAGGATTCCGAGGAGGGCTAAACCCCGCAGCGTGGGCTGAACAAACAATATGTTCAAAATCTTGGTCATACAGTTCACGAACTGAAAGTTACATTTGTAGCAAAATTCCGAGATCAATTGGGAGTCGAACCTGAACCTTTTCAGGTTCCACTAATAGCCCCAGTGAAGTTCAAAGAATTCAAGACTCACCCAGCAATTTCTTGATATATTTCAGTGCTATCCGTCGCAGATTCAGGGATGTTTTGGCGGGAGCCGTTTCTGAATTGAACTTTGAAACTTCTAGACTAATTTTGATGTTTCCGCGATCTGCCATGTCCTGTTCGATGTTTTCAGAACGTCATGTAAAAGAAAAGGAAATGGAGCAGCAAAAAGAAAAGAATTATGAAAAGCAAACCGAAGTCGATTTTCCTCTTTCTTCTTATTCGCTTTCTGACATACTTCGGAAGAATGTGAACGTTCTCCTCGTTGATAGGCGACACTCGGAAGACAGGGTCCTTCAGTGAACTCATCTTTCTTACTCTTATGTGGTTCAATGGTTTGTAGAGGCGAAAATGCCTGCTACGAATTTGGGGTCTGATAGGATTTCGATAGAATTCCCCCTTCAGAAGATGATACTTCGGAAGTTTTTCCTTTTCATGTCTATCTTGACCAATTTCTTTTCCTACGTAGGGCTCTGGAAAAGGCTTTCGTTGAGCTTTGATAGTAACAATAGCATTGGTTTTCTTTGCTTGTTCAGCCTCTTTATCGGCTTTCATTTTAGCGTTGTCCCTTGCATCGAAAACTCGGACAGCACATTTTGCCAAGGCTACTGTAGATTTGGCATCTTTTACACATTGATTGTACACGATCTTCTCTATTTTCGGTAGATTCGCCAACAGTTCCTTTGCTCGAGCCTGAAATTGGTGGAAGAATCAGACTGCCGACAAACCAGGGATAGACTGTTTTTCCTCCCCGACTCCCAAAAATAGGCCCATAAGGAAAGAAGGAAGAGGTGACATCGCTGAATTCCTTATTCACAAAATTTCAGTTTCACGAATTTAAAAAACGTGTTAACTTCCTGGCTCTAGATACACGCTACGAAGCACAATGATAGAGGTGTGTCATTAGGTGCCACGTCGCGCACCCTTTGTAGTTCATCGTGGTGGCATCAATGGCTCTTGCCATTCATAAAGAAGTTATGTGCTAACAGGTGCAGAACAGTGAATTCGCCGCGTGCTCAAGCTACAGCTTATCGAGGGATGGCGGGCTATAGTCTGGAATTGCCTGCTGTCAGCAGGGTGCACGATTGACTGACAATAAGGCAACTAGCTAAGTTAAGGCGCGACGGGGCAACTAGCTAGCAATTGCCGCACATAGTTAGCGGATTGGAAGTACAATCACATCAAAAGCTATGAAAGGCTTGACCTAGTGAAGATTTCCAACCGAAAATTGGTAAGGAATGTAAGGCTTGGTTGGCCTGGGCGGCTATCAGTCCGGGATTCCAACCCGTGACCATGCCTATATGATAGTGTGCCCCTTGCCACTAGACCGCATCCACCCTTTTATTCAATTAATCATCGCAAAGCTGAATTGATTAACTTTAGGTCTCTTGATGTTTATAGGGTGATCCCACTTTTTTGAGTTGTGATTTAAGTATTTCCAACTGATTTTCTGCTTACCTTTATAAGTCCACGAATCATTGCATTATGCCACATGCCTTTCATTTTCTCTACATTGATCTCGTAGTAGTCTGTCTTCGTTTTCACCGATTCGAGTAGAGGTGGAGTATCAAGTTCGCTTAGTACTGGAAAACAGTAAATGTAGGTATGTTTTGGAAAGCGACGGATTCATCAGGTTTTTTTATAGAAAAGCTCAATAGTTGCATGGAATATGATGGGATTCAAAGAGCGATTTACCTCTGTGAATTAAGAGTAGCAAAGTGAAACCTCGGCAGAAAACTGCCATCCATCCAACCCTGAAAGCAGTAAGTTACGAAATACTAGTGATAGTGGTATCCGTACATAAGATCTCGGGGTTAAGGTGACCACGTGAAACGGAAATTCAATAACCAAAGAGGGTATCGAATGCGCCTAGTGAGCCTGAGTATTAAATAATTCGGGCCTTTGAGACATCAAATTTTATTAAAATGTTTTTTTTCAGAGCTGTGATTGGAGCAGTAATTCGGAGCTTCTGAAATGTGAGAACTTCCCAGGGCTCTACCTTTCACGACTGTTCCAGTAGGACCTGTGGTCTTCAAGTCAGTGGACGTGAGTCTAAAGCTGTACTTTCACTGTCTTTGTACTTTGTAGTTATATAGAGTAATCATCATAACCGAGGATGCAATCAATGTAATAGATCTTGAATGTTAGTTACACATCAAATTAATGGTCATTTTATAAAAAATGAAGGGTGAACTTCACGGAAAATAAAGTAAGAAAAATGAGCAAGTGTGAAATGAATTTTCATCATAAGTCTATTAATTTTCAACCTGCCCTGAAACTACTAAGATACATTCCAAGAAACCGGAAATGTCAACCGAGTGGTCCTCTCCTGAAATTTCACAAATTGAGGACAGCAGTAAGAGTTGTTTCGTCTCCTCCTGGGTGCCAATGCAAAACCGTTTCCTTACGAATAGCCACTCTGAAGTCAGGACCAACTTTGGCATTTGGAATGTGAACACTGAGAAAGCTCAACGGATCAAAAAAATCGTGGAAGAATGCGCCGTGTATAAGGCAAAGGGCTACCAACAGAAGTTCTGAAATGGTGAAGGGAATACGGAAGAATGGATGTGGGCAGGGGTAGGAGGAAGTAAACATTTGAAGAGAGGTTGAATTCTGTGCTTTCTCTACAGGAGACAGTGTTAACGAACAAACCTTAAATGATAAAACCAAGACCACGAACTTTCTGGATGAATTCTGACAGCTCGACAAATTCGTCTGGCCCAGAAGGCGAAGAGGGACGAAGTGACGAGGAACAACTTCCGCAAGGAAGTGCCGAAGGTCACCTCCCGCGAACGGTAGCTAAACTATGTATTGTCCACAAGGAAATCATCGCTGATCCGAAAAGGGAATGCGAGGATAACAGAGGCTTAAGTTCTGGATCGCATAAAGGGATTTAGGGAAAATGCACTGCCGGACTGCCAGAAAAGGTGTCATCAGATCCGCTTTTGATGGAAACCAGTTGTGCAAGTGAAACTGATAGTACCTAATTCGCACTCATTTCCAGGGTCACACTACCACTGAAACTACTTGTAAATTACTATTTCAAATCAAATAGAATAAAGTGGAATAGTTTAGTGAAATTACTGTTCACATTGGAACCATTATCAAGTGAATATTGTACGTTAGATCGTTCGGAAAGTATCTGCAGAGAATTTGGCAAAAGTCCAGATATTTTCTTGGATGTTCTGGAACTTTCCATAGAAATGCTATACAAGAATACTACCCACGTGAATGGGCACAATATATCCGACTCTATTTCCTAGCTTATTTAATCCTATAATGGTCAAGCGGTCTCCCCATGACTGACGATTAATTCTTTACGAGTTAAACCCCGGCTACTCAGGTGCCCATCGAAACCTATGTCAGGTATTAACTTCAAGGCCCCTTCCAAGCGGTACCCAAGCAGGTCCTGCTCCCACATTTCAAGTCAATCAATGAATTCAGTCAAACTGGTAAAAGTAATGTCATCTCAAAATGTGATGATAACTCCTAAGCGGCACCTACCCATTGACCAGTTGTCACTTGAAGAAATTTGAATTCCGACAAATTTCGGCAGTAAAACATGTGAAACTATGTTACGGTCATCACTGTTGTTACTTGTACTTATTGTTGTTGTTATCACTTATTGTTACAGTTTCATAATTGGTAGCTGCAGTATACGGCTTACTCGAGTAAACAATACTTCTTCACAGAAAATCAAGACGTCCAGACAAGTGAACTTAACTGTCCAAAAGTAACTTTTTCCGCTGTTTTCATGAATGCGTATGTTAATAGATGTGGAAAAATGAAAAATGTGAGTAAAGTAAATGTAAATAAGCTAACACAGTAGAATATTCCAGCAGCTGTGGACTGTCGCACAAAGGACCACAAGGTTTTCGCCCTGTGAAGAGGTTCCAAATGGGAGTTTCAGGTTTGATGGCCAGGGTTAACAGTATAGTCGAAGTTGTTTTCAAAATGTAGTAGACAATGTGTAGATAGATCAATTTTTGCGATCAATGCGAATATATAAATAAATATTCTCCTGTTGNACTGGAGCATTTCTGAACTGGCTGGAAAATCAAGCGCTACATTTAAGCATGCGGGCTACTGGTAAACATTACGATCGAACCAAGGGCTTTACATTATTTCTCGAAACAACGGTCATGACCAAATCTTAGGGTTCCGTTCCTGCAGAGGAAACCTCCAATAGAAAAAGAATCGGTCTTTTGCTGGCATATAAAAAAAATTGGACGAAGAAAGTGAGTGTGGGTGAAGCAGATCAGAGGAGAAAAAGCAATTGGCATGTCAGCAGCAAAAAGCGAAATTTCTCTGTGAAATCTCCAGGACAAAGCTCTTAGTTTCGCAGTTAATTGTAAGAGCTATAAGAGTTGTACGAGTTGCAACGAGGCGCTTGTAAATTAGCATTGGCGCAGTGAAAGAGAGAGTGAGAGAGCAGACGGCACGACTGTTGCTGCCCTTTGACAGGCGCGACTATTTATTTAGAGAAGGCCGGCTCTCAACGTTATGGTTTCTACGGTTCAACGCCTATTTTACGGTTGCTAGGGCACGGACATGTCACACAATGTCTCCTTTGCCATTGAAAAACCATCTTAACAATGAATATGTTCCGTTTGCACACCCCATTTCTCACGCCTACTGTAGTTGAAAGGGAAACCGGCTCGATATCAAGTTTCAGCCACTGCAACATATTGAGCAGGATCTATGGATGACTTGTGCGGATCTATTTTATAGCAGTCGTCAATAACACTAGAACTCTCCAAAAGAGCTCCTGTGAGAGGAACTGGGCGGTTGCCCAAGTGGGAAGTACCGACTGTTCCTTCTACTTCTCTGAAAAGAGCGTTTTATGGGTAACTGGTATGGTTTCAACGAGGTATCAATACCACTATTTTTGCTTGGGACACTCCACTAATACTTCCTCCACATTCTTGAGCTTATTAACATTAAAGCTACATGCTACAGTTGGCTCTGTTCAGTTTTGTCAAAGTAACTCTATATTTTCGTTGCCATTCCGTAGTAAGCAGTTAGTCGTGCACTCAGGTGATTTTATTAGTAAATAAATAAATAAATGACTAAATGTATATGAGTAATTAGAAGGTGACCAAAGGAAAAGGGAAGCGGATGATGAATAAGGGGGCCTGAAGAATTTCCTAAGAATCAGTATGAAAATATTTTTCTCGTGCAGCACCATAAACGTGGGGCTTAAAACTTGTAACTGTTGAATGCTAGTCGGTGGCATTTATCCAGAGGGAAGAATACTGGCGTTACAGACTTTTTCAGCGATAGTCCCTCAGTGAACTTCACAGAGAGAGCTCACAAAGCGACAACGACAGTCTACCTTAACAAGCGATTTCATGATACTGGTAACTTTTAGATCCAAGAGGTATCCCATGTGAATCAACCCGTATAAATGGCTTTTTGCTAGTTTTATTTCAAAGTGCTGGCCACTTTTGGTAGGGATCGAACTAGGCAGAATTATGAAGGAATCAAATCTCGAGTGATTCTGAATGCAGAAAACTTTCCCTTCTAAGGGATTCCATCTATGAATTGGAACCCTACATGAGCATGAAACGGATTGATGCGTCTGACGTCTTACGCCAGCGAGTTACATAGAGTATAGGGTCAGCGATCCAAGTAACTAAATACCTAAAGGGGAGGTAGAGTCCGAGGTACATCCCATCCCATCCCATCAGTTTCTACAGCGACAGAGCCAAATGAGCTGTGTTCAGCCAAGACTTCTGTATAATCAAGGTAGGCTCTAGGATATTCACGAGGGCTTGAATGAACATGTGAGAGGACTTTAAACAAGTCCGTAACTTCGAATATGAACTCATAAAACTGGAAATCACCAAAGTATAGAGGTTAGTGACCGTTGAATGTGGTGTTGGAATGACCTGTTATTTGAAATTGGCTTAGTCAACTCATTTTCGCTGTGTGACGAGTTTCACACTAGCCCAGTTATGATCATGTAATATACCTACAAATCATCATTGATTTCAAATTACTGTTCAAAATTCTCATATTATCCGCTCTAAGTCGAATTCTAGCAGACAGTACATAGGAAAAAAACGTTATCGAAACTGGTTGGATCATACAAAAACCGGTATGTCTGTACCTGTACGTGACACTGAAGATGAAATCAATCGTCATGGGGCGGTAGAATATGGTAGCCACTGTACTTACAACCGTTTAGCTACGAAGTAACGGAACTTATTGCAGGTTGAGATAACGGGCCCTCTCTTGAGTTGAAACAATTGTTGAGCTGCCTTCTTTACTGATGTGGATGGAAAAGTGATTCGCTTTTGATCAATTTGGGGAAGAATTAGGGGTGGGAAGAGGTGCCGGGAGGAAAGGAAAGTGGAAACGGTGTTTTTCCTAACCACCTGAAGCCCTGGAAGAGTGGAAATGCTAAGCTCTTTGAGGTATTGAGTAGCCTTGATCACTTCACCTTTGATCTAAAAAAATCAATTATATCAATCAATTGGTTTCGTTGATGCCCTATCTACCAATACAGATGACTGTGATCGCATGTTCACATAACTGAGTTGAGAATAAGTTCTCAGGCTAACAAAATCAAGCCACGGCAGATTAATGGATCCCACTTCTGAAGACCTGATTAATGTATCGAAAGAACAGACGTGTCATGAATAGAACCTATGAGTATTATTGATGTTTATGGTACGTAGCGACTGCCTCATAGTGCTTCCATACACCTGCAGTGGGTTCTTAGTACTGGTGAAGTATTACCTTTGAGACACTTGATGTTTGTGAAAAATGAACTGAAAGAAAAATAAATGTAAATTGAGACTACTGGAAGAGCGTAAAAATGGATTCTTGAAA